GTTAAGATTTGAATGTGCACTTATTTTATTCCATTATAAATTATCTTCCAACTGCTTTGGTGTCCCTATATGGTATTAATTACAAAGTGAAATTTCCCAGTATACAGCAGATTTGCAATACAAGTAATTTCCTCTGGCTGTTTCCAGAGAGAAAATGTCTGTCTCCAACCCAGAAGAACATACTTTGCACTAAATGCTTCTTCTTACCAGAATAAAGCACCTTCTCATAAACAATTAAATTAAATAAATAGATAAACAAATATAAACTGATTTCCAAATATGGGTAAAATTTTCCTGAGGAATAAATAGCAATAAATACAATCCAAGGAATAGTTTCATCAATGTACAAACTTTTGAGTATTATATAAGATACAATAATTTCATAGCTTTGAAACTGAATTTAGTTCTACTGCATGTTATTGTATTTCATTAGAGAAAAATATATACCTCAAATATGACCCTCAGATTTAGAAGTTGATCAGCTTTAGACTTGCAGAAGATAATGGTGAAACTACTCATGAAAATACACACATAAACACAATCATATGCACATGCACTAATTAAAAGCATTATTGTCTTGGGGGCAATCAACATCTACCCAACTGGAATAAAAGCCCATTCAATGGGAGGAAACTCAAGTGTGGTACTGTAAACATAACCAAATACACAGGGCTGGAGAGGTCATAGATCTTAGAGAAAACGCCAAGACTCTCACATCTCTAGACTAATGTAATTTCTTACTAGGTGCAAAATGTGTCTTTATATTTAAAGACAAATATCCCAGTCAGCAATCATCAAAAAAGATTCTTTCGCACCAGATGGAGACTATTACCAAGTACCACAACTGGTCACACATAGATATGGTGTATGAATTGCCCAAGCATACATGATACATCTATATTGCAACCTCTACACCTAAGGCTCACAGAACATAGAACAAGGGTAAAGAAGTCACTAATGAATCTCTCAGTTCTCATTAATGAAGCGCCCTCATGCAACAGAGTGCCAGAAACACAGAAGGCCTCAAATGTCCAAAGTGTAAAGATTAAGAGTATGCAGATTGCTGGTTCTTGGACAGACCTCCTATATTAAACTTCAGTCACCCAGGGCTCAGGAAACATTGTGGAAGAGGGGGCATAAAGGTTGTAAGAGCCAGGGAGGAGGTGCTCGACCATATGGAAATAAAATCCTACAAGTTCCTGGGACTCTGCTCATTTGAATATACAGCAATATTGTCAGTATACACAAGTCCCATACAAGCTTAAGGAAAAACCCAGCATAGAATTGGGGAAATGGACAGCAAATCCCAATCTTGATGAAGAAACATTGGCAACAACCTCAACTAAGTGAGGAAAAGCTGATCTTCCTAAAGTGAGAAACTCTAGATAAGCTGATAGACTTCAGTAGATGAACTTGCACTGAGTGATATCTGGGGACACTAACTTGACACAATAGGACTTAACATGAATGACAGAATGTATGAATTCCTAGGGGTGGTGTAGGAGGGTGCCAGTAAGCATGGAAGTAAAAATGATGATTATGATTGATTAAGAAATTCTGTATGAAATATGAAGAAACTGAATAAAAAGAAAGCATTATTGACAGACTGGCAAGATGGCTCAGTGGGTAACACATTTCCCTGGCAAGCTAGATCTCAGCTTAATCCCCAGAAACCATATAAATGTGAAAGGAGAGAATGGACTCCATAGAATTGTCTTCTGACTGCCACATGCTCACAGTGCCATCAACTTCCCTACCCACACATCATATACATACGTAATAATAAATTAGAATTTTAGAAACTAAAACACACTTGAGAAAACAGTTCCAAGAAATTTGAACAACGGAGTTATCTTTTTTTTTTTTTTTGGCATTTTTGAGACAGGGTCTCTCACTAGGCCCAGCTGTCCTGGAACTCACTATGTAGACCAGGCTGGACTTGAACTCATGGAGATCTTCCTGCCTTTGCCTCCCAAGTTCTGGGATTAAATGGAGTTATCATTTTTTAAGTCTGGTGCTTTTAGGACTTGACGTTTTTGAGCTATGAGTTCCATTTTTGCCCTTTAAGGGATGACATGTTTTTAATTAAGGGAAGGTGTATACACATTGTTAAAAGCAACTTATTTTGCCAATATGAATATATTATAATTTGAAAATGCAAACCTAGATAGGGTGAAATGCTATTCTGGTAATGATATTAACCACAGATAAGAATGTGACAAAAAGTACACAAAGATATTGAGCATTTTCCACACTGAGTCCATAGTGGTTGTAATAGGTTGCACTCCCATTAGTAGTGAATAAGTTCCTCCTTCCCCACACCCACACCATTTGTTCACATTTGTTTTGTTAACCTTAGCCTTTTGACTGAAGTGAGATGAAACCTCAAAGTAGTTTAATTTGAATTTCTGTTATGGTTAAGGATGTGGAACACTTTTTAATATGTTTCTCATACATTCATATTTATTCATTTGAGAATTCTCTTTTTAGTTCCATGCCTTAATTTTCAATTAAGCGATTTTGGTCTTATATCCAAAGAACTATATATCCTATAGCAAGCACCCTCTCCTCTCAAGTTTCAGGGACCATTATGGAAGAGAAGGCAGATAGATTGTAAGAGTCAGAGGTGCTCGATGACTATAAGGAAGCATTGTTTTCTGGACACAGCAGGTCAGATGCACATGTGAACTGACATAACTGGTTATGACAGATTGCACAACAGGCACTCAAAATCAAACTCAACAGGTGCTCAAAAATCCCAGCATTAATGGGGGAGGTGAGAAATCTGTCCCACCCAGAGCTGAGGAGCTGTTGGCAGTTGATATCAACTGGGAGAGGATGATCCAGTCTTCTTTAAGAGTCTGGCACCTGGTAAATTAATCATGCTCCAGTGGATGGACACACTCCAAAGAGTTTACAGACAACATAAATTGGACTCAGCTTTTTTAAAATACAGAAACATAATCAAACAAAAAAAAGTCAAACAAAAAAAAAGTATACAACGTTGGCAGGTAGGTATGGGGACTGTACATATGTGGAGGGGACTGAATATGATCAAAGTACACTGTATGAAATTCTCAAAGAACTAATAAAAATATATATTAAAACTGCAAAAGCTGGGAATGGAGAGATTGTTCAGCGGTTAAGAGCACTGACTGCCTTACAGAGGACCTGAGTTTGATTCCTGGCACCTACATGGCAGCTAACAACCATTTGTAATTCCAGTTCCAGGGGATCCGATTCCCTCTTCTGACCACCACTGGCATTGTGCAACATGGATACACCTACCTACATGCAGGCATTCCATTCATACACATTAAAAAGGGAAAAAAATACAAAAAGTTATTAGAGTTATAGTTCCAAGAGGAATCATGAGGAGTTGGTAAGAGATCTTGTGAGAAGAGGGTAATGGAGAGATAAGTCAAATCCATGTGATATGAAAGCAAAGGTGGACAGTCTGGGGAAGGAGAATGGAGAACAGAAGATGATGCTCTGAGAGAAGAATGTTGGAGAGCAAATATAGTGGCAAACCTGCATGGAAAGGTGAACAGGAAACTCTTTATTGTGAATGATAAGCTAATATACTAAAATATGAAATAGAATCACTGTAGTCCTATACTTGGAATGTACAGATTATCTGAAAAGATTTTGCCTATTTCTTCTACATGAAAGTGGTTGCCTAGTATCATTCAATTAAAACTTAAATTTAGCTCTTCTATCTCAATTGGAGATGAGTACGCGAGATTCTAAATTCATATTGTTCCCACAGGGAGCTGCAGAAATGACAAAGGGCAGAGATGTGATAAGGGATGTTTTCAATATTTTACTGAATCCTTTTTAGGGGATAATGTAAAATAAGTTCTTAAGGAGTGGGAACTCTTTTTTCAGTGATGTTTTCAGACTTCTGAAGAATTTGGAGAACTGGTCAATGGTCACAGCATCACTTTGTGTATGATGACTCAGAGGACTATGATTTGTCACAATAGAATTTGTTCTGAGTTAGAAATAACTAATGTTCGTGTTGCTCCATTTTCAGACAGTTAATGAATCATTATTTCATTCCATTAATAAATTAGTCACATTTATTTAAAGCGTGTCCACATTTTCTTCCACCCCATAAAGAGACAAAATCACATTTAAAAGCATTCTTGTATGTTTGTTTTCATTATAGAGTAAACCAGTTGGCCAGAGTTCTTCTGACGTGTATGTTAAAACAAAAATTAAATCCAAATGATGAATATGGTCTTTCTAATCAAACAGGACCCATGCCAAACCTCACTGCTGTAAGAAGTTCAGAGTAGATCTCCTCCTGTAAATGTCAAGCATTATAGTATTTGCATGCTGAATGTAATTTTTCTGCAGAATATTAAAACCCACAAGAAAAATGCAAGTCCTGGAATAATAAAACCAGATAGGAAATGATCCTAAACCTTTCTATGATAAATCTTGTTTTTCAACATGGCTGGATCTGGAATCAACTAAGAGATTAGCCTACAGGCACACACATGTAAGGAATTTTTTGTTTAATTTTTTTGTGTATTCCATGCAGAACAGCTCATACAGTCTTAATCATCTTTATACCCCCATCCCCACCAACACCCTCACACAGGCCAACCCCCCTCCCCAACTCAATGAAGCCCATATACTCTGTCATTCTCCTTAAGGCCCACTGGGTTGTAAGGGATTTTTGATCAGGTTATTGGAAATGGGAAGATCTGCCCAAAATATGTGCAGCATCTTCTTGTGCCAAAAAGTTAAAAAGAGAATAGTTGCAAGAAGAAGCTACCTTTTGTAAATGTAGGGATGCACATTCAGAATACAGTAAGAAATAACATTGTTCTAGGAAAGTGACAGTAGTAGATTCTTCTCTCAGATCTATGATTTCCCCAGCCATGTGTTCTTGGCCATATTTATGGTACCATGCATTGATTCCCTCCTATTAAATGGGCCTTAATTTCAATTAGACATTGTTTATCAACAAGACAAAAGTTTCACTATTCTCCTCCTGCAAAGGTGTGTTTTTGGTTCTCTGGTCTTGGCTGTGTAAGAATTGGGGTCAAAAAAATATGGATCTGGTGAGGTCTGGGGATAGCTTGCCCCACACAGGCTCAAGATCAATCATTCCACATAGAAAAAAAAAATGCCACTATTGCACAAATGGATATAATTTTCTGGGATGGTCATCAGTGTGGTGAATAGGTTTTACAGCAGGGTCGGATCATTGGGTGGTTCTCTCTGTTGATGGTGTCCATAGTACCTTCTGGCACCATAAGAGCTAGTTTGCAGCTGAAAAACAGAATAGTTGACTGAAAGTTGCCAGCCCTAAGTGATACATATACAATGAAACCTCTACATTTGAGGCTTAGGTAACATTGATGAGGATGGGGCAGAAACATTGTAAGAGCCAGAGGGAAGAGACACTTGATGATAATTAATCCATTCTAGGCATGATAGGGAAACTACACCCACGAAAACTCCACAACACCATAGCCTAACAAGATCTGCTTTAACTGACAAAATCAGTTATTGCAATTTGGACAGGAAATTTCATTTGTTTTCACTTCAAGATGAAGACCTGACCAATCAGTTGAGAGGAGAATCTCTTTTCTCCAGGGGGAAGCTCCCTGAGGGGTTATCTAATACCATGTTGCCAGCCATAAACATGTACACAAAAGCACCTCTAAATGACGCAATATATATGTATATATGTGTGTGTGTGTGTGTCTGTGTGTGTATGTACATGTGCACTGTGTGTGTGATGCATGTATGTTCATGTATGTGCATATAATATAACTGTTTTATTATTTTGTATAATAATTTATAATTACATATAAATATATGCATATTTATAAATGTATGTATTCATATATAACAATCATAAAGAAGAGAAAAAAATTGTGAGGAGAGGCAGGACATGGGAGGGCTGGAAAGAAGAAAGAAAGAAAGAAAGAAAAGAAAGAAAGAAAGAAAGAAAGAAAGAAAGAAAGAAAGAAAGAAAAAGCACAATAGTCATGTGTGAAATTCCTCCCAAAAAAGAGGTTTAGGAAAGGCTTTGCTTTTGCTTCCTTACCTTCATGTTTCCTTTTAATCTTGCTGGCAAGTTCATCTACCTCATCAATGCTTCTGCCACTCTTTGCTAATAGCAGAACCTAGCTACTACCACCTTAGAAGTGGAATGAGGACCAGCAGTTCTCTAGGACTCCTCTCAGCCTTTACTGCCAGACGGGATGCTGAAATACCCAGCTTCATGGACTTAGTAACTACTGAGTTCTTAGACATAGTTCTTAGAACCACTAGGTTTCCTGCACACACACACACACACACACACACACACACACACACATATATATGATAAAGTAACCATTTTCATATTAAATTAGAAATGTGATTTCTGTGAAGTTGCTTAGTGGTCTTAAAGTGTGTATTATTAGAATGAAACAATACAAGAACATATGGTTAAGAGTGTAATACATGTCGAGAACGATGGTGCCCACACTATTTAGTACCAGCAGTTGGGAAATAGAGGCAGGCAGATCTTTGAGATTAAGGCCGGCCTAGTGTA